TGGTGCTGTTCCCAGTGCCCTTCTCAGCTGTGCTCATGTACTGGCCCATATGGTCTTGTAGCTTAGTAGCTAGGATTCCTGATAGAACTTTCCATGTTGTGGGGAGGCAGGTTATTGGCCAGTAGTTGGATGGTGCTGTTCCCTTGTGAGGGTCTTTCAAGGGTCTTTTAGCCTGGCACCCAGTGCTGTGAGCCTTTGTTTAGCTGTCTCTAGGGCTTCAGATGGAGTCAGGCTCATGTATTTTTTCAGTAGCCGAGTCTTATCCTTAATCTCCACACATCCTTCTGTAGTTTCACCAGCTGACTGACTTCTCTCCAAGTTGCCTTGATCTTAGCCTCCAATCTCATTTTCCAAGGGGGGGTATGTACTGCTGTTCTTGATCATGTAGCCAAGCATTTCCAGGATTGCAGTGGCTGTAGCGTATACCAGTTCATTGGTTTGAGTTATGGTGGTAGTAGGGATTGTATGGAGGGCTCTATTGGCATCTTCTATCATACTATCCAATGGTACTTCTCCACTAAGCCTTGGTAATTGGACTTGAGGGTTGGCTGTAGCTAGTTTATCCATGATCTTATGCCTCATATCAGCTGCTGTGCTCTGTAATGGAGGGGGTGGCAGTGATGTTCCAGCTTCAGGTGTTGGCTGCAAATCCAGTTATTCTTCCAAGTCTGCTTGAATCCGGGTTGTAATGTGGAGTTGGTCTATCTCAAGTTGTGAGAGAAGCTTCCTCTTCACTATTTTGAAGCGCTGGGTAACTAGTTGTTTCTCAGTTAGTGTGGATGTAGGTTTTGTGTCTGTCCATAGTTCCCTCATATGTTTCATATATCCCCTCTCATTAGATCTACTGTTGTAGTAGCATTCCATCAATTCCAAGTTCTCTTGTCTCGTCCATGTATGGTTTGTTCCAGTAGCCCACTTATCAGATTGTCCTGGTTCCCCAACACCTGACGTGGACCTTGTAAACTGGGTGACGTCCGAGCCGACATGACTCTCTTAGTTAATGTCACTGTCATATTTGAGGCAGGCAGGTGAAGCGTTAGGAGGTCTTTGCCCAAGGGTCCCTACTGATAAGGTAAGTACCAGCCGGGATTTGAATCCTGGCCTCCTGCATCAAAGGTGGTGTTCTAACCACTACGCTACCCAGCCGCTCCATATATATAAAGTGCATTTGGAAAGTATTCAGACCCCCTTCACTTTTTTCAGTTTTGTTATGTTGCAGCCTGATACTACAATCGTTCAAATTCATTTTTTTTTCTCACTTAGTACCCCATAATGACAAAGTGAAAACTGAATTTTAGAAATGTCTGTAAATTTATTAAAAAGGAAAAACTGAAATATCACACTGGCAAAAGTATTCAGACCCTTTGCAACAATACTTGAAATTTAGCTCAGGTGCCTCCCATTTCTCTTGATTGTTGCTGA